ACACAGGAATGTTTGTATATTCTTACTAAAGGTGGTAAATGGTTTGATATGTCTTTCACTATCAGGTGCACTATTCTGTCGTGGCGTGCTGTGTACATTCCCTTGTAAGCACGGCAGCCGTTCAGGATATGTGGCAGTGTTTCAGTGATCTGTTCTGTAGTGTGACACAGTGTGCAGCTAAAATAGTGGAGTCTAATGCAGCTAAAACTGATGTCACCTCTGTACCTGCAAATACAGTCATGGATGAGGAGTTCCAGCCTGCAGGTGCAATCATCCAGCAAACACAGCCACAGTCAAGCCAACAAAGACGGAGGTGTGGCAACTGTGGCTCCATTCGTCATGCCAACAGGTCCCAAGACTGCCCAGCTATTGGCCAAAAGTGTAGACATTGTGGTAAGCTCAACCACTTTGCAAGGTGGTGCAGATCAAAGTCCAGTTCGCAGCCTTCACCAGCCGTAATTCATACAGTTGGTCCTCACTCAGTCACTTTCTCTACATGTGGTGTGCAGCTGAAAGACTGTTGCATTCCGCTGCTTCTTGACACGGGAGCTAAAGTGTCATTGCTTAATATGGCCACCTACAATAAATTTTTCTCTGATGTTGAGTTACAACCATCACCTATGAATCTCTGTGGTTATGGCCAAGCCAGCATTGCAGTGACTGGAGTAGTTAAACTGCGAGTACAATATGGGCAAAAACGTCTACCAGAGTTCCTGTTCTACATAACTCAGTATGGCACTAATATCCTGGGTCTTGACCTGTTCCTTAGCCTTGAGTTTTCTCTGCATGACAACAGTGGTGCAACCATCCTTCAGGTGGACTCTCCATGGCAGACACAGTTTCCCACTCTATTCAGTGGTTTGGGCTGCCTCTCTGTTTTTGCACACAAACCCCTGCTTACCCCAGATGTACCGCCCATAATCCAGCCACTGTGACGAGTGCCTCTCGCCATGCGTGACAAGGTCACCACTGAACTACAGGGCATGCTAGCTGCAGACCTCATTGAGCCCATTGATGCTTCTCCTTGGGTCTCAAATCTTGTGATTGTGCAAAAACGTTGACCTTCGGGAGCCTTCGGGAGTCTCTGCGTTGACCTTCAGGAGCCGACAATTGAGGAACTCACAACACTCTTCTATGGCTCCTCAGTGTTCACAAACGCTGGATCTTAAGCAAGGTTACATGCAGATACCCCTGCAAGAGGACAGCAGAAACCTGACTGCATTCGTGACGCACATGGGGTTGTTCCGTTTCAAGAGGATCCCTTTTGGCCTAAGTTCATCACCTAGCTGCTTTCAGAAAATCATGGCTACTGTCCTAGCAGGACTCCTGGGTACGACTGTGTACTGAGATTATATTGTAGTACATGGAAAGGATGTGGCCACTCATGATGAATGCCTCGGACGGGTGTTCACAGCTCTGTCTAGACACAATCTGACATTGAACACAGAAAAATAAGTGTTTGCTGTCCCAGCAATAGACATTGTGGGTCTTCGGGTGTCCAGCTCAGGTATCGCACCATTGCAGTCCAACGTAGAGGCCATTCTTCACCTTCCCGTGCCAGCCTCAGTTAGACAGCTTGCATCCTTCCTCGGCATGACTGCTTACTATCTCAGGTTCTTACCTCAGTATTCGGAAATCACTGCCCCTCTACTCAAGCATAACACCCCCTGGGCATGGACAGCGGATTGTGAGAGAGAGTCAGTGGGAGAGAGAGAGGCGTTGGCGTGCATTTGGGCATGTGAGCGCTGGCACATGTATTTATATGGACGATCCTTTACTCTCAGAACAGACCACCAGGCTCTCACTACCCTCATGTCCTCTACTGGAACGGGTCACAAGCCCCTCAGGCTCCACCGATAGGCTGAATGGTTGAATCAGTACAACTACCAGCTGCTGTTCACTCCCGGAAAAGACAACGTGGTTGCAGATTTCCTGTCCCGTTCAGCTGCGGAGCCGACTAGCACAGCCATGCAGCCAGAGTCAGATATAGAGAATGAGCTTGTGCAGTTAGTTTATGAGCCCTTACAGGCAGCAGTGTCTCTTGAAGAACTTAAGCAAGAGTCTGCAGCAGACCCACTCTTCGTACCCCTCAGCACCTACATTCGGAATGGCTGACCAGCTCGGGTGAGCGCTGACCTGACACCTTTCTCCCGAGTCAGGGCAGAACTGACATGTTGCGGTGAGTTATGCATTGCATGGGGACACCGAGCATTCATTCCTCTGTCCCTTAGGGGGCGGGTGCGGTCAATGGCACACAAGGGTCATGTGGGGGTAGTTAGACTGAAGCAGAGGTGCCGAGACTTGGTTTGGTGGCCAGGGATTGACAGAGAGCTAGAAGCTCTTGTATGTGACTGTGCACCTTGTCTGCTTAGTGGTAAATAGCTGCAGACCTCATTGAGCCCATTGATGCTTCTCCTTGGGTCTCAAATCTTGTGATTGTGCAAAAACGTTGACCTTCGGGAGCCTTCGGGAGTCTCTGCGTTGACCTTCAGGAGCCGACAATTGAGGAACTCACAACACTCTTCTATGGCTCCTCAGTGTTCACAAACGCTGGATCTTAAGCAAGGTTACATGCAGATACCCCTGCAAGAGGACAGCAGAAA